GGGGTGGGGGAGAGGGAGAGAGTTAAGATGATTAAGAGTAATAATTAAATTTCCTTTGATTTCAATTCATAAGAATATTGAAGGTTATTTTTTTTTAATTTTACTTTTTTATATATATAAGGTTACATTTTAATTCAAATCAAGTCTTATGATCTTAAAAAGATTTGTTGGGTTAAACTACATCGAAAGAATCTCCTTTTATTTTCACCGCAGCATAGAATCACAAGATTCAAGAGAATCGGAATAATAAATTTAAGCACAGAGGCAAAATCAAAACAACCAGAAAAGCACACAAGAATTTTACATGAAAAAACCCGAGAATGAGAAAAAACCACAGAGCGACACCACCACAAATTCATTATTAAAATCAGAAAGTATTACTAAGGATTCACACAAGTTTCTTCTCTACATTCACACGAAGAAATTTACAGGATGCTGCACAATCGTTCTTCTCTGATCTGATGCGAACAACACGCCGATATCCTCAAAATCCTCCTAACTCTTCTCTACTTCATTAGGAACTTGTTGAAGAACACCCCATGAAGTCTTGCACCTAACACACATTACACTGCGCGAAATTTTGGTCTTAAAATAAAAAAATTGTGGTAACTGCATCGGGTGCAAAAGCGCTTCTCTCTCGGGTAAGAAGAGATTGCGCTAGCATAGTTTGGTGCCTGGGTGCTCAAGGGGGCGCAAAGGCACCCTCCTCTGTCTAGCGCCTAAACATGGGCCCAAAGGCGCCCCCTTCATAAGCAGCGCCCAAGCCCGATGCTTAGGCTCTAGGTTCTTGGTTTTTCCTTGATGCTTTGGCTCCACAAGACTAACAATCTCCCACTTGGAGACAAGAGCACCCAACACCAAACCTCTTTACCGACACCTCCTTCTTAATTGTCTTCATAGTTTTGTAATGTGGTCACGTTCCTTGGTGTGATTCACCTCCGATCTCAAACTTCATGAAATCCAACTAAAGCCAAACACAGCTTAAGTTTCACAATAGTCACCAACTTCTTTAACATACCCACATGATTCTGAGCTGTGTATTTTCTCTAGGAAACACTACCCACGTTTAAAAAGAGAGCGAATAAAATGATATCTCAGTAGAATGTGCTTTGTGCTAACATAAAAAAAAACATTCTTAGCAAGGTGATTCACACTCATACTGTCATTGTAAATCTTTCCAATTCTCTGCTCCTTACCAAGTTCTGCCATGAAACTCTGTAGCTAAATCATCTTCTTGCTAGCATCGATAATAACAACACATTTGACCTCCGCAGTAGAATGCACAATGATCTGATGCAACCTGGAAACTCTATTCACCGTTGTGCTCCCCAATGTGAAGATATATCTCATTGTATTTATCGTACTTTTCACATGTCCTGCTAGATCTGAATCTACGAATCCCTGTAGACTGATCACTGCACTTCCATAACAAAGTGTCCTGTTGAATGTTATACCTGAGAATCCACTTTACCAGCTCCCAATAATGTTTGCGTGAATTGCTTATGTACCTACTGATCACTCCCACTACATATGCAATATCTGGCTTGACACAAATCATCACATACATCTAGCTTCTAACTATTGTAGAATATGGAGTTCTCTTCGTTTGTGCTTGCTTTTCTTCAAAGTTAGGCGATAGCTCCTTAAATAGTTTGAAGTGACTACCTAAGGGGGTGCTAAATGGTTTCGCCTCACTCATGTTGATCACATGTAGGATCTTTCCAACAAACTGTGCCTGAGACAACTTCAGTGTTCTTGCACTCATGCCCCTGTTAATTATCATCTCGAGGATCTTCTTGGCTGGACCTAAATTCTTCATCTCGAACTCACTTGATAGCTGATTCTTCAAGTCCCTGATTTTCTCCATATTTGCCCCTGAAAATCATGTCATCCACCTACAAAAGAAGCAAACCATAACAGTTACTGAATTGTTTGATTAAACAACAGTGGTTTCTCTAGCACTTCAAGTACCCATTGTCTAACATGAATCTGTGAAATCTCATGCACTACTGTCTCGGGGCCTTTTCAAGTCATAGAGACTTCCTCAATATGCAGAACAAACCTTCTTTGCCTGGAACATTGTAACCTTGTGATTGCACCATGTACAGTTTCTCCTCCAGATCTTCATGTAAGAAAGCTGTTTTTACATCTATCTGCTTCAAATGTAGATCTTCTTTTACTACCCGACTCAGCACAACCCTCACAATCATCTTCACAATTGGGGAGAAGATCTCTGTATGATCCACTCATTCTCTTTGCTGGAAATCTTTCACAACAAATCTTATCTTGTACCGCTTGCTACCATCTGACTCCTCTTTCAGCATATAAATCCACTTGTTGTGCAGTGCTCTTTTGTCATTTGGTAGTACCGTCAAATCCCAAGTTTGGTTTGACTCCAAAGATTGCATTTTTTTTATCCACGATGAGCTCCCACTCCCTTGAATCTTCAACTTGAGTGGCCTTCTCAAAGTACTGTGGTCCACCACTATCAGTTAGTAACAAATAATGTTAAGAAGGAGAATACTTTTGTATTGGTTGTCTCACTCTGCTTGATCATCTGACTTCTGTAGCAGATGTTTGAGGAACTTCTAGTGCTCTTTTTGGTTCATCAATTCTTCTTTTTCCATCCTCCTGATCACCAGCATCATTTATCTCCACATATCTGGGTTCTTCAGAAGCAGCTGACGGACTGTTATTAGCTCTGACTTTGTCCTTGTGCATTTACATCTCGTTGAAAGTGACATCTCTGCTCTTGATGAATTTTTCATTATGATAATCTCAAAACTTATACCCAAACTCATCTGAGCCATATCCATTGAAGGTGCACTTGACAGATTTTGAGTTAAGCTTGTTTCTAGAACTTGCATCAACATGCACATATGCAGATCACACAAATACTCTTAAATGAGATAAATACCTTTTTGTCACTCCAGGTTTCTTCAGGTATGCCCTCCTCCAAAGGTACTGGTAGACTACGATTAATCAGATAAACTGCAGTGTTAACTGCTTTAGCCTAAAACTATTTCGGCAAGCCTGCATGTAACATCATGTTTTTAGCATTCTCCGTGATTATTCTGGTCATGCGTTCAACCATACTGTTTGGTTGTGGTGTTCTTGGGATAGTGAATACCACGTCTATAGCACAAAAATTTCCGAATTTATGATCGCGACACTCACCTCCATTATCTTATATGAGACACTTCAGCTTCAAGTCCGATTTATTTTCTACCATAGCTTCCATTTCTTAAAGAATTCAAATACATCTGATTTTTTTGCTTTAAGAAATAAAATTATACTTTTCTCGTGCGATCATCAATGAATGTGACAAAATAGCGAGGGCCTCCAATGACCTGAATTAGAGTAGGACTCCACTCTAGTTTCTTTGAGTTCACCACTGATCTACTCTTCAAGAAATAAACTTTCTTCTGCTTGCCATATATACAATTTTTACAGAAATTTAGATCAACTGATTTCAAACTTTGAGGTTTTTTTTAGAAAGTAGGGACTTCATACCTTTCTCACTTATATGACCAAACTTGCTGTGCCACAAACCTGCTTCCACTCTGATTCCAACAATATCAATGAAATAAGCTATTTCATTGATCAAATAAATGGTGCTTTCAATGTTGCTCCAGCTATCACTAATGCTCCCTAGTTACCTTCCACGAATCACCTGTGAAAGTTGTCACAAATCCTGACTTTGTCACCTGACTCACAGATAAAAAACTTCTCTTCAAACTTGGAACATGTCTGATTTCAGTAAGATTCCAGACTGTTCCATTCAACAACTTGATATCAACATCACCCTTTCCTACTATACTGCAGGCCTTGTTATCTCCCAAATAAACCTTCCTTAGATCACTCTTAGAGTAGTTTTTAATTACCTTTTTGTTGGGGCAAGCATGAAAAAGGCACCTTAATTCACTATCCAGGATTCAGTTCTGACTAGGAATAACGCCAAGGAGTCATTTTGGATTTCACCAATGGAGATAGTAGTAGAGAAATTACTATTCTGTCATCTACCACCAGCTTTTCTTGGAGCTTTAGAGTCCTTTTTGAAATGCCTCTTCTTACTGCAATTTCACCATTCTTCTCTGCTTGACTTAGGCTTTCCTTTCTTGGAGTTCGATCTACCTCTGCTTGTATTCCTGCTCAGATTCCTTCCTCTGTTATCAAGATTCAAAGCAGAACTGAAGATTCATCATTCGTTGCTTTTCTGCGAACTTCTTCATTCAACATCAAAATCACGATGTCATCAAAGTTTAATTTTGAAGATCCTAAAGAGTTGCTCACCACCGTTACTAAACCATCATAATTGTCTGGCGATGAAG